TAAACAGGGACAGTAAATCCTTGATCATTATCACGACTCCCTGGTTTCGTTTCAAAGCCACGTTTTCAGTTTTCGTTTTCAGAATTTTTTTTTGTTTTTGTTTTGTTTCAGTTCAATAAAATTTGCTCAATAAGTATATATACATTCCAGGTTTAAAGTTCTAGTTCAAACAATTTTTTGGGTGAAAAATATTTATCTGTTTAAATATGCGTTTCTAGGGGCTTTATGAAAGTGGACAGGGGGAGGCGGGGGGAGAAGGGCACCGAGCAAGGGGGCGAAATGAGGGTTGGAGTTGGGGGGCGGAACAGGAGGCAGAGTGAGGTGGTCCGCGGCGAGGAGCAGCGGGGCGGGAGATGTAAATAAAAGTACTTCCATTTTACACTTCTACTGGAAATCATTCGTTTTTTTCTGTAATATATTATTGTGATAAATAAATGCAAGGTAGTTCAGTCAATTTAATACATGAGAATGTAAAAAAATCGAATTTTTTAAAATACTCGAAATTTTTTTATGTGGGACTCTGCCTGCTCCTAGTTAGATATCGGAATGGGAAGAAGGCAGAAGGTTGGTGGTTCTTTCGTGCCGTTGCCCATTCGCTCGCGAGAAAGCGGGATCCGGCGGCGATTACACCAAGTCACAAGTAGCGTCTCGAGCACCCTTGAGCACCTGAGCACTTCTGCATATTCATAAGTGCGATCTAAAAGTTCCCTTTGGTAAATCGGCGAATAACGGAAAGTAACCTCCGAATTCGATTTTCTCAATAAAATAACAACGTGGTTAGTCTTGAATCTTGGATTTTATCACTGTAAAACAATTTCCATATTTCGAATTGGGCATCATTTTCACTATGAGAAATCACTTCGAGTCGGACGCTGTTCTGACGCAATTTTATTCGCGGAAAATCTTGCGCAGGCTGAATCTAAGAAAATATCTGCTTGTTTCGAAAGGTTGACCTTACATTTTACTTAGGGAATTTCTTCGGATAATTATTCATTTAAGCACAGAAATAACACCGAAGAATCCAACGAACACATTGCAAAGTGACGTATCATTTCCTACGTTTATATATTGAACTAATGTAATGCGATTATAAACCTGACACTCCTGATAGTATACCTGGGGAAAATTGTTAAATTGGGGGCTGATTATATTATACGTCTATATTCAAATATCTGTCAGCAATCAAAGCATTCCCTACGACTGAAAACGAGCAATAGTTGTCGCAATCTTTAAAGAAGATAAATCATCAGTGAAGAATTGCCGTCCATTTACCCAAACATCCGTGGATTCAAGGAAATGAAGCGCGATGTTACAAACTAGTTAAATGTGGCGACGCAGACACTGTTAACTGTTTTAAAAGATTTTTTCGTGTGATGAAAATTTCTAAATGTCATTCATAGCTTCAAATAAGTTCTTACAGTCTTTGACATTTGGACATACCAACCGTTCATACCCGGTCATACCCGTTCAAAAATTCCCAATACCTAATGACCTTACCTCCATATGGGATATGAACGGATAATATTGCAATTTCAAAATTGTAATCTGCGTAAATAATTCTCGCAGGTATACCGATACGATTTGTTATAATTTAGTACAGCCATCTTTGCATCCTTTTTTGCTAATATGCACAAAACTGCCCATAAAAGATCACCTGTAAGCTGTTCTTAAGCGTTAAGGTCCATTCACAATGCAAACATAAACATAAGCATGGCGTTAGCATAAAAGTTAGGACTACGTTCATAAGCGGTCTCATTCATAACGCGTTCGCATAAGCATAACACGTAAGACGTTAACTTAACATCTTGCAGGCTTCATTTCTGTGCTTATGCTTAAGTAAGACATAAGAAATTAACCAATTACAGTACGTAACTCAAAATCAAAAATCGAAATAGGATCGACGTTGATAGACGCCAAATGGGCCATGGTCACAGTCGATACCTCGAAATCGATTCTCAGATCCAACCAATAGTAAACTAGAATGTCTCAGCCAATTGAAACAAATTTTGCTTACGTTTTTGTTGGACATTGTGAATATTTCAGTCTATTACTTTTGTTAATGTTTACGTCTATGCGTCATCCTTATGTTTACGATTGAATTGTGAATGGGCCTTTATTATCTAATCCTAATACAAGATAATTCTCAATTAGTTTCGAAAATTCTGTCACAAAAACTACAATTACATTTGATTCTTCCTCCGTATTTCCACGCTTAAGAGAATGATGCAGTTATCATGTTCGGTAAAAACCCTGATTTTTCGAAAATTGCAACAGTTCAAAATTTGTTCGGCCTCTTTCTACAACTAGAATATTAAAGTTAGAGATAATTTTCTTAATAAAATCTGTTCCTTAAAGATAGGTTTTAAAAGGTTTTGAAAGGTCAAGTACAATTTTTCAAACATTTTAGTACGTTTCGCGTATTTGTGCATGAAGTATAGGTAATTTTTAATATTGCTTAAACATTTTTTTATTAAATTTGTCCCCCGTATAGCGTATAGGACGCTTCAGAGAACTGTGCAAGTCTCATGTTAGTGAAATATTCTGATTGTTTTAAATTACAAAACTTAAACTCTTTTCGACGTCTTCCTACAACTAAAGCTATGAAGATAAACATATTTTTCTTCATGATAAGTGTTCATCAGAAACATCTTTTAATAATAACATGTTCAATTTTTCAAAAATACTATTTATGTACGAGTAATTTGGCGTCCTAGTCGCCCGCTTCGAATTTCCTGCGCTTCGTAAAAGTAATTTGAGAAGTGTTTTGCGGCTACGTGAGTTATAATTTGTACATTATTTCATATTTCTTTGTTCGTCTTTTACATTCGAGCTTTCGTTATACGTTTACAAATTAATCTTTTAGAAATTATTTAAAATCCATTTGTTAATCCATATTTTTTGTTCGTGTTGTGAGGAATGTATTTTTATTCTCAATGTATTGATGTATTTTCTTTCAAGCTATCCACAAACATTAATTGAAATTAGCCCAGTTAGATTTTCTGTCTTAAGAATACGATCTAAATATGATATGAAATAAAAATATCTATCCTTCAGTGATTTAGCTGTATGAACGCAGTTATAGTTGTCGCCGACCTTAATAATAATAATAATAATAATAATAATAATAATAATAATAATAATAATAAATTATTGAGTCACATGTACAATTACAGACGTGTATGACTAGTCAAATATGATATATTTAGAGGGGGTACAATCGCATACATCTTCTTGGGAGCAGCGAATGAAGTTACATTAATTGTCCAGAAGCAAAATAAGGGGCCATCTCAGCATTTGCTCAAAGGACCAGGGAATCTGATGAAGATGAGCTCATTCGCTTAGAGATTATACTACAATACTTGTTACAGATATATTAAGATATTACATAATATATAATTATTTTTTGTAGTAAATAGTTGAACATTTAACTTCCTTTAATTTAATTTAAAATATTTTAACCTCTCAAGATTTGTACCGTTTCATTTTTTAAAACATCATTTTCTTGCTAGAGTGATTTTACTGCCACTACTTATAATAATAATAATAATAATAATAATAATAATAATAATAATAATAATAAATATAATTGATAATATTACTTACAAAACAATAATAATACCAATACTAACCTTATTGGCCGAGGTGGCTAGAGCTTGTGTCTCGGTCTCAAGATTCGCGGGTTCGAGTCCCACAGTGGGCATGGTTGTTTGTCCCTTGTCTTTCATGTGTGTTGTTACGGAAGCCCTTTAAGTTTGCAGACAAAAAACCGAGAAGCCCGCTCCTAATGTTCTACAATTTGTAATGGTTTTTGCAAAACATTATGTCTGAGATTCGGAGAGGTATTGCAGTATAAATATTCGTAGTATTACTAAGGGCGAGAAAGTAAGTGGTGTTTTAGCAACACGAGTTTAAAATTAAAAAGTTACGTCGAAATGGCGTTTAAGTTATTCGCTATTCGGTGCATTTAGAATTGTCCATCCAAAAAGTTAAAAGAAAAAATTGGAGCTGGTTTTGATGAATTTTTTTTTAGAATATTGCCCACATTTTTTCACTCACAATTACTCGAAAATTACTAATATATGGAAAATATATACACGGCATTCATTAGATAACTAATTGTGCAAATCAAGTCAAAACTATCATTTAGATGCTCTTTGTGAAATTCTATGCGCTTTTTTGTTACAAACTATCCCAATTAGAAAACCAACCGTAATAATTACCTCAGTACAATATTTCTAAACATCAACATTTTAAAAGGCTTTTGGGGGACCTTGAGCTACTAGCAAATTATTTCATTATGTGAATAAAACCTATCGTGTGAACTTAGAATTAAGGACATGAACAATTTTAAGGGGAATCTCACTCCTTGGTGACAATGGCAAATGTGGTGCAGCCCATCACAGGGGTGGATCCACCCGATCATTTGGGGGGGTGGGGGTGGATAGTGGATTTTTGTTAAATAATGAACATATTTGTTATTATATTGTATATTATTTATATACTGTAGATATAGTACTATACAATATTATCGTTTAAATAATTATATAATTCGAACATAAATAAATATTTAAATCAGTAGCGTAACGAAATAACAGTGGACTCTCCTGCAAAACATTTTTACGGGCCTCCTTTATAAAAGTGTAGAACTAACACAAGTAGAGTTAGTACCTTAAATAATAAAAATGTCCCGTAAAAACGCGCTCTCTTTTACCCAGGTCCATCTGCATTGTGGGCCTTGCGGATCCGAACATTAAGCCACTGATTTACATCAATTTTGCCAAGTAAACGATGGTAAACAAATACTTTTGGGGGCGTGCCCTCCCCCTCCCCCGCCCGGAATCCGCCAGTGGTACACCAGATTTACATTTTTAATTCTGTTCATTTCAAGGTTTGTAAATATCGAGGTATTTTATTTGGCAGAACAATAATAATAATGCTGATAATTTTTGTAGATGCAATTATATTCTTTTCTTTCCATAATTACAAAGACTTGACACCAAAAAGATACATGAAAGTGGTATGTTGATTGGCAGTTTTATTGTTTAAAATATATACATTTCTGGAGTTGGCAATATGTTTGCCAAGGTTGGCAATGACTGACAGGTGTGCGTATGTGCCGAACATACAAAAGATGACGTTTTCATAACCTCTAGGTATGTACCAATATTCTGAAAACCGGCGAATTCGTGTTATGTAGGTATTGTGAAGTGTGATTAATGTCAGCCATTGATATCGATTCGTTGTTATATTATTCATGCAACGTATTGCTAATATACTATAAAAGTGTGAATATGCTGTAGGCCCCTACCTAATTTCACATGACAGTAGTACGCTTGGTATGTAAATACATGTTGTTTTTTTCAGTCCCCCAGCCCTGCTTTGTGCAGTTTAATCTTGTTCAAGTTTCTTGTAATGAGTTTATGACCATGTTGCGAAATAGAAAGCGCGTTACCTTGAAAACTGTAAAAGAATTAGATGCATTCCCCAAGGTACCAGAAACATTTCAAGAACCCACACCCATTGGAGGCACATGTAAGTGTCACTGAATTTAACTTGTTGAGTTTTGTAATTTCTAAATATGTGAGTAAGCTCCTCTCTTCTATTCACTTTTGTCTCATTTCAGTGTCTTTGGTTACAATGATCTTAATGGCAGCCCTAGTGATCTCTGAGATTAAGTATTTTTTAAGCAACCGGGTTGTTTTCAAATTTTCACCTGATACTGATTTTGATGCAAAACTAAAAATAAATGTCGATCTGACAGTTGCAATGCCTTGTGCAGGTAAGTAGTTTTCTAAATAATGTATTTGTTAAGACTGCATGTGGGAAAGTTTTCTGTTTTCTGGATATCAGATTATGACATCAACAGTCCTTGCTGTAATTTATTTTGAATTCATGTAATGTTGGTGAAGGAATGGGGGTAGGTCTTCCAGGGCTCAGAAAAATGTGTGCATATAATAATATTTTTGTATTCTTGGTGAATATCCCCAAGTTCATTTTCAAGAAAGGACATTTGTCTTCTGGCCGATTTGACATAATATCTATTGTGCCAACAACAGGGCAGATATCTAAATTTAATAGTCGTTAAATCCAAGGGTGAAAAATTAATCAGTAGTGAGAAATAAATACCACTGTTAATTCTGCTAACCAGGTAATATTTTGCACAATGCATTTCTTCCACAATAAAATAATTGCCAGGTAATACTGTACGTGATGTTTTGGAGGAACAGATCTGAATTTGCTGTTCAGAGACAACCAAAAGATCGGCATGGCAATTGCTCTATGGACCTGAGGAAAGCCAAATGAAAACCATAAAAGAAATCACTGATGAACTGTGTATTCTTTAGGTAGAAAAATGTGAATTCATCTATCGCAGAAATGATTATTGCTTAGTATTTTTATTATTATTTTAATAAGAAGTATAATAAATGTTTCTGGAGGAACTTCATTCTCTATTGAGATGATTTCTAATAATTTGTAAAGGCTCTTCAGATAATACATTATGAAAATTTTGCTTTTTCGAACTTCTCTTCCCTCTTTTTTCACCGCTTGTAACACTAAAAAACAAGTTACTTTTTTAAATAATTTGAATACTTATTTTAACTGTTGTATGTTATATATAGAGAATTGTTAATACTGTAATACTTATTACAAAACAGTGAAAACTTATTTTACATTAATCCTCTCCCTCTGATTAGTTTTTGTTGTAGTTGTGGAAACCTCCTCTTTTCCTTTATAACAGATCTGTTGTTTGAATGATCCTGAATTTATCTTCAGAGAAACCAACTTCTAATATTTTTCCTTACTAGTAATGTTTTGTTTTTTCTTATAGTTGTTGGGGCAGATATTTTGGATTCTACTAGCCAGAATGTCTTGCAATTTGGTAGTTTGGAACAAGAGGATACATGGTTTGAACTAGACTATCATCAGAGGACTCATTTTGATGGAATGCGTTATGCCAACTCGTATCTTCGTGAAGAATTTCATGCAATTCAAGATCTTTTGTGGAATTCTCAACAAACAACATTATTTGGGGACATGATGAAGAGGTTGGTTAAGAGAAAATCGTAATTATGTTATAGTATATCTGGTAATATGGAAAAATGCACTATAATATAAATAAATTCCCTTTCCTTGTGTGGTAATATAGTATTTATTGTCATTTATAGAATATGTAGGTAGACATAGGGAGACTTAAGATAACATTTTTGGGAGAAATATGTGATTTGTTAAGAATTCTTGATATGTTCCAAGGGTTGAATTTTTAGTTTACAAGTGTACCAGATGATGGGAAATGTATTTGTTATTTAGGTTTAAATGATTTGCATTTAGATTATAAATACAGTGTAATAGCAACTACTCTAACCTTGCAATCAATTAATTTAATTCTTTGAAATCATCTTTTTTTTTTTCTTTTTTCCAATACTCATATTATTCCCTCTACATACTCATGTCAGTACCCTGGGAAAACTTAATTTTTCTCTCTGATAATCAAAAGGGGGGTGGAAAAACACCCCATCTAGGTTTTTGAAAAAAGTGTGAATATACTTCATATTGAAATTGCCCAGCCTTTGTTAAGATAAGGCTTGCATTCCTCCAAAGTGGACTTATGTAAATATGGTACTTATTTGTCCCACATACTATTTAATAAATATTGGTGGGTGGTGAGCCTAATCCCCTGTTGGTTATATAGGTATTCCACTTCCTAGAATTTTTGTTATTGGCTTACATTTCCATTGTCTTCATACTAACAGTTTGTGTATCATGCCAATGTTGTTACAATCTTTCTATTTCATTAAAATTTTCATTTTTTTATTCAAAACTGCATGATACACACAGAATTGAAACTCTATATGTACCATTAATATTATAATATAATAATATATTATCTACCCATGTCAATGAATCAAGTAATATGTTAATCATTTAATAATAATTAATCAATTAATATACATTATTCATATCTCTGCTATCACAATATATTTAGTCAGAAGAATAAACTTTCTTCTTTATTTGAATTGTACTTCGTTTTGCTTAATATCATTGCATTGAAGGAAGCGTTGCTCAAACTAAACATTCATTTCTCTGAGTTCATTGATTTGGATTTATATAAAGTAGTGAGATATTATTGCTTACACAAGAGAGGTGGGGGCACACTGTTAGCTGTGAATTGAAATTTTCAGTAATTGATCTTATTGATAAATCACACATTACATATAGAGGCCTTGGAGAGATTATCCATTTGTCAAAATCACCATGTGCAATAATTGTATTTTATATTCCTTCAGCCTAAAGTATCTATATAATAAAAACATGGGTATTTATGCAGCTAGAGAGATAGGGAATGAGGTATAAACGGAATGTTTGATACAGAATTGCTTGTGAATATATATTAACTTAAAATTATGATCTGTCCTGTTAAAATTATTATAAACAAGGAAGTATTGATTCCTCATATGTTCTTTCTCTGATGCACAGTACTGTACATGATCTAATACCTCCAAGTACTATCCTCTACAGCAAAACCTTTTTACATTTAAGTTATCTGTTGACAGTGTGGCTCGAAGTGTTGATGGTCTTGTCACTTTTAATCAGGATAAGTATAGTGAGAGCAAGATGTAGTGTGATCACTGATTTTGTTTGCAAAGAACCTAGTTGTACTGAAATTGTTTGCAAAAATGTAATTTACAAATCTAAACATTCATCCTAGGATTGTGAAATATTCAACTGAAAGTATCTTCTATGGTTAAAAACCTTTATAACCATGATATGATCATGAATTCATAAATAAACTTTTTTTTCAATTTTAAACTTGGGATGTGAAATCATCTGTGCTAATAATATATGTTACAAAAATAGTTTGTATAGAAGACCAATTGATGGCCCTTCAATGCCAACTAGACCATGGCCTACCAGCCTGGAAAATTTCTTCTATTTTGACTGGTTGTGAAAGCCTAAGACACTATGTAAAAATAGCTTGGTTATGAGAGGCTTAAGAAAACAAAATGTCCCTAATCTGCACTGTAAAGATTGATTGGCACATCTAGTAAACACTAGATGTGCTAATCAATCTTCACAGTGCTCTTTATCTTGGTTGTGGTTGTAAGCACTATGTTGCCTTGGGTGCACAATACAATGTCACATTTCCAAAGATTAATTGTAGTGCACTGCTTTTCATCACTGAGTTTTGGTGAAAGATCACTTTCAAAAAACTTCAAGAGACATCTGTGTGTTTTCAACCTTTTTTAACATGAAAGATTGGTATTGCTGTTTATACATATTTTGCACAATACATTTATTGGTTCATCTCCATACAAAATTTTTTAAGTAAAATATCTTGGACATTTTGTAAAAGTTTACAATACTCTTGCATTGAATCCAAATGTGCACCTTAAAATTTGAAAGGAACAGAAAATAGATCAGTAAATTCAGTGAGTCAGGCAATTTTTGGTATTTTAAACCCCTTAGATTTTTATTATTATTTTCCTGATATATTGAAATATTTGATAACTCTAGTTGTTTTCATTTATTTTCCTCTTCATATTAGAGTTATGTCTTTTCATATTATTGTTATCATTAGACCTGTGCTATTTTTTAATAAATAATTAGCTCTGGTACTTATATTCTTTTACATTCCGCAGGTCATCTAACCCTCCATATGATCCAGATGCATGTCGAATATTTGGCTCACTGGTGCTTAATAAAGTAGCTGGAAACTTCCACATTACTGCTGGACGTTCTTTAGCATTGCCGCGTGGACATGTACACATTTCAACATTCATGTCCGATTCTGATTTCAACTTTACTCATCGCATTCATCGATTTTCATTTGGTGACCCCAGTCCTGGCATTGTTCATCCTTTGGAAGGGGATGAGAAGATTGCTACTCAAAGTAATTTTCAAATTAATTAAAAATCAATCAAATTAAATTTCAAATAATTTGCTTTTTATTTTTCTCAAGAAGAGTATTTGTTTTATAAAGTGCAAAAATGCCCAGAGATATTAATATCTTCATTTCTTGTAAACTATTTCAGATATGATGTTATTCCAGTATTTTATTGATGTAGTTCCAACTGAAGTGGAAACATTCCTGACACAAGTTAATACCTATCAGTATTCAGTGAAAGACCATGAACGGCCTATAGATCACAATAAAGGCTCACACGGCATCCCAGGAATATTTTTTAAATATGATGTCAGTGCGCTGAAAGTGCGTGTAAGCCAGCAACGTGACTCCTTTGGCCAATTTCTTGTGCGTCTCTGTGCATCTGTAGGTGGCTTATACGTCACATCAGGTAGGTGAAGAAGTTCACATTCATTTAGATTCATTCAAAAATTCCAACACTGTTAATTATGAAACACTTAATCATTAACCACACATGAGACACTCTGACTCAACAATTTGTCTGTTTTTTCATTAGTTTTCCCATCTTCTTGGTATCTTCAAATAAATATTGCATTCATGGATTTGTAGTGTAGTGAAAGTTATGTAATGCTGCTAAAAGTTGTTGAGAATTTGAAAGAAATACGCATTATGAGTCGCTTATTGTGAAAAAGTGTTTTTTATTTTTTGTTTTGTGTAAAAACATGTGTCCTTCTATCTGCACACAACACTAACACCTAAGCTATAAATAAGATTTTCACTAAAATTGATATTCTGTGATTAATCTGTATGAACTTGCAACCTGGTAATTTTGAAATTATTCTTTTAATTTTTGAGGTTTCTTTTTCATGAAGCTCATAGAACATTTTCAAAATATTCTCAAAAATAGCTCCAAATTGTTTCTTCTTTTCCCCCCTTCTAGAATAGAGTAAATTAAGCTTGTAAAAGTGGCACAGGTCCTGCGTTTATTACTAATTTCCAAAGCTTGCAAAAATTTAAAGAAACCTTAATCTGTCTCTAGCCATCTGAAAATGGTTTCTTTAGATACCCAGGAACTCGGAAAAACTCCAAGAGCAATGAGTTTTAATTTTGCCCGATAAATCCAAATATTTACTTGTATTGTCTGTATTACTAATTTCCAATACACACAGAGATTGAAAGGAAACTATAGCCTCTGGCCCTTTGAGAGATGCCTATGGTTCATTAGATAGTCAGGAACTTGGGAAAAATCTAAAATCAATGAAAGAATTTTACATTTGACTGAAAAATGATAGTATTTGGTTCTGTTCCTCCACCTATTCTTATATTTGGCTTACCAACTGAATTCTCATCCATTGTCAATGTGTCACTGCTTACAACAGACCTTACATCATATGTCAACAATGATCCAAAAAAGAGACTGCCCACCACTAAATATATATATAATGAGTAAATATAAAGAGTGACACTTTTTAATTATTTGTTAATAGGGCCTAATTGTCATACTGAATTGCATTGTTGAATTGAATTATATGATCAATATGCTGTGTTTTATTTACAGGGCTGATAAATAGTCTCATTCAAGTGATTATCGATCTGTTGACTTGTCGCAGCTTTTGGAAAACAAATGAGAAGGCTAATAATGCATCAGCTGCAACCCCAGTTATTGTTACATCAGTAATTGATCCTCTTTTGACAAAGATGGACTCCAGTTTACCTTCTGTTTCTCTTTTACCTCCTGACATCATCTCTGACATAAATCCTAAACAGCCCCTCAACTGATATGTGTTCTGTGAGCATTTACTGTTTTGCAACATGAGCCACTGCTGTATTTTGAACCTAGACGATGTAATTGGATATATTCATTTTAACATTCAATTAATTGAATACAAAATAATAAATTGCTTCTTTTTAGTAGTATATAAAAACTACAAAATTTTTTTTTGTTATATCAACATCATGAAATTAATATCAGTCTTAAATGTGTTATTGTAAAAATTACACCATTAGGTGTGTGGAGCAAAAGTTAGGTTGAGTTCTGAGAAGAATGTAGCTTTTTAATTACTCATTTTCCTGAATTGGTTATCCACTTTACTATGTCTTTTTGGTGCTATATCCTGTTTGACACTCCTTGTCTTGGTCATTTCTTGTTTTTTGTTAAATAACAAAATGGAACATAACATCTTAGTCAAATAATTCTATTTTATACTTTTATGAGGATTTCCAAGAATAGTCATAATGAAATCTCTTTAGGCAAGTGATGAATGGCTGTGAATTCTGAAATTGTTACAAGTATTTTTTTGTCATCCTTGAGTATTATTTTGCATAATCTCTGATCCTGCCATTCAAGGCAAATTTGAGTTTTTTGTTTCACTTCCTATATCACGGCCTAATTATTAAGCTTTACATCCAAATTCAAAAAAACTTATCCCCAGCTTTATATCTGACTGGTTAGAGTAAAAATAATATTTAGAATGATTTATCAAGAAAAATTATTGTGGTTTGCTATTTCCTGCCACATTGTGCATTTGAGAAAACAATAATGACTTTGACTGAATTTTAAAGAGTAAACTATTGGCACTGCTTTTGTGTTGCTAACAGTCTCCTGACCTGTTTTGTCATCCTTGTTTAGACTCGTGTCAAAATAAATATTTTGAATTATTCCTGTGAAGTCAATATATGCAGTGGTTCATCTTGTATCTTCTTTCCTGTTTGTTGTCTAACTGGTTTTAGAAATAAGGAAAATATCCTATGAAAGTTCAGATAGTTTTTAAATTTATTGAAGATATGTAAATATACACAGGTTTCCCTGAATGGGCAACTATTTGATACAAAAAGATATTTATTTTCAATCGATTTTATACAGTATTTTGTACCATCAAGAAAGTAACACAGTATCTTTCTGGAGAAAGGCCTTATTATATCCTATGTTTTGTGAAAGTTACCTGTTCAAAATTACTTTTTCATTACTATTTTAATTTTAAAATTTTTTGAAAAATACTAATTATTTATATTTTTTCCAAGAGTTTTAGACATTGTTTAATTCAGTACTTTCCATTATGATTTTGTTTTCAGAAATTAAACCATGTTGTGGTGTCTGTGTTAAGTGTTTTGAGTGTAATGATGCAATATGTATGTTCCAAAAATAATTGTAGCCTAGGCACATTTTTTGCCCCATTGGAATTACAGGAGGTGCACAAACCCAAGTCTGTCTAATGAGATAGGCTGTAAAACTGTTTTGAGATATAATATATAAGGTAGTATAGTTGAGATTGATGTGTTATTTTATTCGATATAAGATACATGTAATTTAGTGAACTTTTACTTTTTTACATTTATCTACAAAAATCGTTATCTTTTTCTCACTGGTTTACTCTTATTATTTGTATTTTCCATTTCTAATGTCGCTGTATTTGTAGTGAACTGTAAGTTCAATTGTTCCTGTTTTAGATAATGAAATGTTGCAATAATTTTTAATTTGTTAAGAACAATTTACTTGTGCACTTTCACAGTGGGTGTTCAAGTCTTTTGCATTTATTTGTTGTGCTTAATTTTAAGTGCTCATAATACTCCCTATTCACAAATACTTCCAATTTCAAGATTTCCAATTGAGATTTAAAACACAAATTGGTTTCCTGATTTAAATCAAGAGCTTCTGAATGATTGATTGATTCTTAAAATGCAATAAAAGAATAAGAGGAATTTAGATGATATATTTATTAGATTTATAATAATTTTCCATTCACAAAATTTTTTGTGTTATTTATTAGAGAATTTTATTAGCAGTTGAAGAGGAGATGTTTGTTTTATCCTATCCTAATCCTATGTAAGTAATTCATGCTAATTTAGGTAAAAATTATTATCTATATTTTTAGGAGATCTTTTATTATTTAAATCAGTCGTGATTACCTCAAATTAATTTCAAGACGTAATGAAAAGAACCAAATATAAAATTAGAAGTATGAAAACTCTAGTGGTGGTTGACCAGCATCTTTCTCACATGACATTTTCTTTTTATAATGTGACTATTTATGCATAGTTCTCACATTTCAATAGGAATCGCCAACTTCCACAGTGAATCTGACAACACCCAACACTTGCAAATAATTATAATGTTAAGGAAAAATATGAATAGGATCGTATCCAGTTTTCTTGGTGTTTAAGTTGATTGTGTTGGTTGATTTTCTTAAAAAAGTAATAATTAAAAACTTCTTTTTTGTCCAAGTGTTTTAATGTTTTTTCTAAGGAACCACAGGGAGGAGACTGGTTGGAGGACATTTTTCACAATTTGATGTGAAGCTATAAGTTAATCAAAAGTATTGTGAAAAGACTTAAAACTCAGTGGAATAGGGTTTTTCATTCTGTGTCATATTTAGGGGTGTTTCTTTAGGAAAACAAGAGTGATCTGAATTTCAATTTGTGTTTGATTGTTGAAAGCCATTAATGTTTCTCCAAGTAACTACTTGCATTTCATTGAAAGGCCTTTCAAAAAACACACGTCATATTTAAATCCTTTACCAAAGCAGTAGTTCTAGTATTTGTGAATAGCTAGAGTATTAAAAATCAGTCTGAGAACTGTTTATTGTATTTATTTTGTTCACTGTCAAGTCTTTCCAGAGTGTAAGAATGCAGGTGTTCAGCTTGTGATACTGATCTCGAGGGCTTTGCAATTTTGTGGTGTTTTTGGTTTTGAGAAATACACTACTTGAGGCATGATATGTGTTTTATATAATTCATCTTTTTTCCTTCATTACATTTCCTTTGTCTTTAAGAAGATACTTGTTGATAATCAATGTCTATGATTTAGTAAATATAATGATGTTATTTACTTTAACAAACACTAAAGGAATTTTTTTAAATCTTATCCAATAAAATTTACTTTTAATTTAATGGGTTGGTAGGATTCATAGACATAGCTAACGGAAGAATCGGATACCTAATAACTGTAAAATAAATTCAATTGCAAAAATTGTATATCATAAGAACGCTCATTATTTGAATGTATGTTAAATCAATGGAAACAATTCAAGAGGATGTAGAGCTCATGGAAGATTAAAAGTATGGTTACAGGTTATTTTGTATAATGGGTAATTGTTCAAAGTGTTGTTAGAAAATAGATAGAAGAAATACTTATAGCAGTCTATACTTCTTAATAATTTTCTTTTATAGGGAAAATGTGAGTTCTTTTTTAAAAACTCAACTTCTTGCCATTGATTGTGATTCAGATACTTTTATTTAATGCAAAAATCCTTTTGAAATTAAACAGAATAAAATGAAAAGGGGGGAAAAAAGAAAAACGACAAGTTTGATTCTCTGCCGTTTGTTTAAGCTAAGAAGGCATTTGGAATAGTGACAAAAGAACTTAAAAACAAGATATTCTGGCATATTTTTTGCTCCTTTTATATTCAAACTAATTGTTTTTACATGGTAAAAATAAATTTATGAGCTGTTATGATGTTTTTTTCAATAGTCCAGCCGTTTTTAAATATGAGATTGATTTGAAAATTGAGGTAAAAAATAATTTCCAAAAATGGGCTGTTATTTATAGGGAAGAGGTGGCAAACTTTTGTCTAAACTTGTCATATATTTAAGTTGGAAGGATTTATTTAGGCAGCTCATTGCCCTTCTTGATAGTTCCTAATCCATGTGCACTGTCATTATGTTCCCTCTCAATATACAGATGGACTTATTTGCAGGTTTGAGGGTTACGACTGGTTAGCAGAATAACAAAGAGGACATAGGACAATTAATACCAGAGTGAACTGTGATGAGAGAAAACCTTGAGCCACTTTCCTTTAGTATAATATTTTATGAATAAATGCATATCCTCACTAAAATTGAGATATTTTGTTAGTGATAGCTACAATGTGTCTTTTAAAGTGCACTTTTTCATTTATCATATTTCTTTAAATGAAGTAGAATAGGTTTATTTATTTTGTTTATTTACAAAATATACAAAGGTTTTTCACAGCAGTTTTTTTATATTCAGCAGCAAAATTATTTTTCAATAACTGATAAAACTCATCATAAAATCCATGATTTAAATTGTGATATGAAGTTTCAGATGTCAATCATAATGATTTTTTTTTAGTGTTTTGACACAAAAGTTTAATTTCATGAATTGTTTGTTCTTATTTATTAGAAGATGATTTTTTGTACTGATGTGTGAAGGTTACTAGATTAATGAAATTTTCTTCTTTTCATACTAGTAGAATGGTGAGAACTGCTATCAGAAGAGAGAGATTCAGTAATGGCAATGACGCATCATTAATTTCATTGAGAATGGCTGCAACTTCAGCTGAAAAATAACAATAATAATTATTATTTGGCAAAATGTAGATTCTAAATTTTAAGCTAAATCATCTCATGAATAAACTGATAATTGATGCATGATTTTCAAACAATGAGACTTGAACCACTAAGTAGTGAAAGGATTAATTTAATATTTTAGGAAAGATTTGGAATTCTAATAAATTTACTTTGCCGTATTAGTGAAGGTATTAATGTGATTAATTTAGACATTTCTTACAGAGCTATAATTATCACTGAGGAGTACCATTTTTAGATTCTGCTTTTGTCATGCTTTAATTTGCATAAGACTCATCTATAATGTATTCAATAGGAGGCAGTTTGTTGGTAATGTGGGATTTAAATAGTAGGTGTTGATGTATTGATACAGTGCAAATGAATTTTACGAGTATTCATAAAAAGTATTTAGGTACATAATACAGTGCACTTATTGTAGTATTTTGGAGCAATTAAATCAGTGCTTTATTTTGGAGAGTGGTATTAAACTTGGATTTTAGGACATTCTAGAAAAATAAATTGTTAGATGAAGTTATTCATATCGTAAAAAGAAATTAGACTTCCCCGATACTCTATTAAAATTAATATTATTATTGACTTCATTTTGCTTGTGATTTTTTTTTAAAATAATGTCGGAAAAATGTAATTTAGGAAAGCAGCCATAAACTGATTGTCTTAAAAAACTTACTGTACTTCACAATGAGATAACTTACGGCAAGGCATGCAATGAGAACTTGAGATATCACCTGGAAAAAGGTTGGTTTCATGTTGAAGAATGTTCTCTTCCACTAATGGTTTTTGTTCCAAATCTGAAACAAAGGAAAGAACTTTGTTGAATTTGAACAGTTGATTTTGAATGAGTGATTGACTACACTGAACAACAAATTTTACCTTTTTCTATTAAAGAAAGAAAATTACAGACATTTAGTGCTTTTTTGTAGTGCTGGACACGAAAATTATCACAAAATAGTGAAATATGGTCTTGCCTTAAAATGTAAAGTCATACAAATTCTCCTTTTTCCTCTACCTTGAAGCATTTTCTAGGACTCACATCAAAAATAGATGCTTTCTCTAGGTTTTTTATTTGTGGTGAAACATAGGTGTATCCCGGAATATTGTCCAGCAGTACTTAGCAATAAGCTATTCCTAATTCTCTGGTATTATCTTTTAAAACTGAAATAGTTTGATGAAAGCGGTCACAATGTTCAACAGAAATTGCCCTACAATTTTCCAGAAAAAAAGGTCCAAATAAAATAGAATGGTAGCATCTGGAAGGAGGGTGGGGCAAAATAAAGCTAACCCAGACTAAAGAGGTTAAAAAATTAGTTAGTATGAGAAGGTCTGTGCCATTCTGTGGTCTTCGATTTAAAATTGAGAGAATGTAAACAGAATAATCAGTTTTATGTGTAATTGAAGAAAGTGATTCTTTTTCTGAAGAAAGTGAAATTTATTCTTTCTACTCTTTCTGAAACAAGTTTGCCTAGTGTACTGTGAATGGGTATACCATCAATTTTGGGGGGCAGGGGAAAGTAACTTCAAGACCCCTTACGTATGTAAAAAACACAATTTTCCCTTAAAACTATGGGTCCAGAAAATGTCGGGGGGACTGCCTCCCCCATGTCTACGTCCATGAACTTTCGTATATTCAATAAGCATAAATAAGCTACTGATTTGTTTTCCTGTCATTGTTGATCTTAACAAGGGTTTCTTTCTTTGTTGTAAGGAAGGTGGTCAATGATCAGTAAATACCACAAGGGGTGCATGGTTACTGAAATGTTGCTCTGGAATTACTTTTAGAAGAGAGTGGCTGTGCCTGGACCTAGTTTACTACGTTGGGTGGATAAGAGAGACATGTGGCGACATGGCGCATTCCCTTCACCGCAACTTGGTAACTCTGCCTTCTTGAGCTTTTCTTTGTCACACAGCTGCAGATTTTGAAGGCAAGCTTCAGCTAAGTGTATGCCTCGACCAGGAATCAAACCCGGGACCACACCTTGGCAAGCTAGTACAGTGGTCTGAGGCCACCCTAGAGACTTGTTAGAATAGTCAGTTTAAGCAGGCACAGATCCAAGGGGGAGAAATGAGGAAAATTTCCTTGCCCCCATAAAATTTTTCAGTAACTATTAATTATATAAATTTTCTCGAAACTTTCAAGCAATATTATTTTCGGATTATCATTAAAACGAATAAAGTCATATCGTAGCATAAGCCGAGTGTGGCCTGTGACGTTTTACAAAATTTGTAATATACATATTTGGCGAAAATATTTTGAATTTCCCCTCCCAAAATTCGTCTCAAGATCCGCCCCTGAGTTCGAGTACCTGTATATCATAATACTTCATATGAATGATTTGGAGAAGTTACGGTCACCGCCTTCTTGAGTGTGTAGGAGGGCGAATCCAATGCGTCTCCTACCATACACACCCCATGAAAGACGAATTCTGAGATAGGCCTAGAAAATATTGAATGGAAGAAGCCGAACGTAGTGAATGCCCAGTTAATGTTTTGATGGGTGAATTCGTGTTGTGGACAAGAAAACATCAACAAAGTAAAGCTAAGCAAGTTCAGCAATGTAAAGTTGTTTAATTTTTCATCAAAAATGTCCCTAGTTATTTTATGAATATTTACTGAAAATATGTTTAGTACTTATGAGAACAAATGTCATTTTTGGAAAGATTAATAAAAAGAGCAGATTCGCAACTCGGTCACAACCTCATGTTCTATGGATTTTTCTTTTAATTGAAAATATGGTAGGAATTTCGATATACTTATCATGACTGTCTCTTTTAGAGGAAGTTTGAGAGAAAACCGGCAGAGGCGCTGAAAGTGTTTCTCTTACTCAGTTACTTGCGAAATGTCGAATTGTGCGGAGATCTGACGCTTGCGGCTAACTGCAGTATGGGAACGATGACAACATGCAAACCCTGCCAATTTCAATTTTTAGTAGTTTAAGGTAAGTATGGCAAACCTAAATGTAACTTTTATTGTAGGCCTTTTATGTATTCAGATAATGTTATGTATAAAATGAACTCAATGCAGTTGTAGGAATGTTACGTTGTATAGAAAACTTATTTGCATGGGTAAACGAATTGCAAGTATTATTTTGATGCGTGGTGCGGTAATCAGCGTGGTGATTGTGGCGGTGGAAGTCGAGGGAACCTGACATCTCATAATGGCACGAAAAGCCCAGTTCGTGGTCGGTAACCACTTTAGGGAAGAAGGCTAATAGATAGTTTACTGGGAGAAGCTTCTGCCTCCTGCCAGCCTCCGGGTTTATTATACACGAAGTTTGAAATAGCGAAATAAACTTGGGTGCGCTGTTGTGAGAACACAGTTCTGCCCTTCGCAATACCCACATACGTTAATTGTAAATTTGAATAGGTGAAAACCAGAACGGTATAAGTAGATTTTATAAATTCTAAGGAATATCTTTGTTTAAGTCAATACCATTGTCGTGGTACGTAGATTCATCATTAAAACCACGGTGTTTCAACTGTTCGTTAAAACCACAAACATACATTGTCACTAGCTAAAATAAACACGTTTTACTCAGAATTTAATAAAATGTCACTTACACCATTCTGGTCCTCGCCTATTCATTTGAAAATATTATTTTCTGTTTAATACCATTGTACTTCTGATTTGTACATCACATTAAAGATGCGAATATTCCAGTTCGTCTCGGTAGTGTACACTTTGGGAGAACATGGCCTTCAAGGAAGCAGCGAGGCCATGCGGGCGGTCTTCGATCAGTAAGTCCAATAAGATAGCAAGTGCCTTCTGCGTACTACTTCACTTCTGAGTCTGTACCGCTGTACATTTACCACTAACATTTCCCAGTTCGAAGGCATCTCTCGGCGCTTCGTGAAATTTTCGCATTCGACGTAGGACTAATACAATTCTAGGGCGAAGACCAGGAAACTCATTTTCGACTCGGCTTACTCCAAAAATTGCATTATTCTTCACCACCATGTTTGTATGTTGTGGCGTATGCAGGTTCTAATTTTCTCATCCTAGGCTTAGTAAACTTTTCCTTTAGGACTAGATACATCATCAGCTAGATAATGAAAATAACGACTTGGTACGATTGTAAAAGATACAGTAAACAACTCAATGAATGAAACAATTTAATGAGGGTATTATGACTCGTATAAAAACAATATATTATTTTAGAAACTCGTACGCTGAAGGCTTCGTGCATGTAACGAGATAAGCCATACCAGCCTTAGGAAATATCCCGCTATTGGAAGATGTTAATATCACATTATTCTGGTCGAATTATCGTGATGCTGTGCCAAGCGCTTCGTGTGATATACGAACTAGATAATAACGAGATAAGCCACACTTACACCAAAACCAAGATATTAATACAAATAACACGAGACTCGCTGTAGTTGGTGTGACATATTGTTGTTATCCGAAACCTCTCAATTACAGCCCCAAATTTGAACGTACATGTGTCAGTAAAAGAAAAATAGAATGGTTACGTCGAACCCACATGCGTAATCTGGACAGTGTTATCACTGTTGGAAAGTGGGCAATAGTGCATCAGTCTTCTTATATCTTGCGGATCTTAGCGTAAACCCTGGGCTGGTGTTGATTGATCGTGCGAAGGATCGGAGTGATAGAAGGTCCTCCGTCGGAGGAGGGAGGGCGTCGGAGGAG